CTTACTTGGGAGGCTGAGCGCAGAAGAATCACCTGAACCCGGGGAGCAGAGGTTGCAGTAGCCGACGATCGTGCCACTGCCACTCCAGCTGGGCTACAGAGTGAAAACTCATCTCTAAATAAATAAATAAATAAATTAAATAACAAATAAATAAATAATAAAATGCTGTGGTTGTTTGGGCTGAAGAAGCTAAATGCAAGGGGGGGCACTCGCCTTTCCCTCTGCTTCCCTGATAGCAGGACAGCAATCACAAAGACAAGAGATCCTTCTACCTCCCCTCCAGGCTTTCCTGTGTAAAAGCAGAGATGGAAAATTTCCTCAGACAACTCACTCATCAACTCAGAGATGGTGCCAATGGGACCAGGGAAATTTGGGAGCTAACTTTACTCTCTCCCAGAGTTTTCTGCTTTTGCAGACTCTCCTTTGTCATGTCAACAACTCAGGATTTATGCTGGATTTATGGCTTTTCGTTGGGCGCGGTGGCTCATGCCTGTAATCCCAGCACTTTGGGAGGCGAGGTGGGTGGATCATTAGGTCAGGAGATCGCGACGTCTCTACTAAAATACAAAAAATCAGCCAGGCGTGGTGGCGGCGTCTGTAGTCCCAGCTACTCTGTAGTCCCAGGCAGAGGCAAGAGAATGGCGTGAACCCGGAGGCAGAGCTTGCAGTGAGCCGAGATCACGCCACTGCACTCCAGCCTGGGCGACAGAGCGAGACTTCTGTCTCAATATATATATATATATATAGTCTCAGATGGAGATGAGGAAGGGTGGTATGTAGACTAGTAGGTTCTCTTTTTTTTTTTTAATTTTTTTCAGACAGGGTCTCACTCTGTGTCCTTAGGCTGAAGTGCAGTGGCATGATAACTGCTTTCTGCAGCCTTGACCTCCTGGGCTCAAGCAGTTCTCCCACCTCAGCCTCCTGAGTAGCTAGGACTACAGACGTGTACCATCACTCCTGGCTAATTAAAAAAAAATCTCTAGAGATAGGGTCTCACTGTATTTCCCAGGCTGGTCTTGAATTTCTGGGCTCAAGTGATCCTTTCACCTCAGCCTCCCAAAATGTTGGGATTACAGGCATGCGCCCTCATGCCCAACCTGATAGGTTCTTGTTGATAATAAGTTTCATATTAATAAGTGCAACTGGTAATATGTTCTTAAGTTGATGTTGTTAAATTTTAGTGAATATAAAAAAACATAAAAAGATTCCTATGGAGGTGACATTAGCAAGATAGTGGAGTAGGAGATGTCAGCCTTATGCCCCAAGAAAAAACAAATATAGACAGCTATACACAAATCAAAATAACCCTCAAGAGGGTGGGGAGTTGCGGGGTGGGGCTCAAGAGCCTGTTAAAGAATTTGGAACAACAAAATGGAGAAAAGAAAACAATATCCATGTAGAAGAATCACTAGTGAGACTGGCCTATATGAG